ATAAATAAATATAAATATAAATAAAGATATATTTTAGATATAAGGAGGCAGCAATATTATTATTATTGCTGTTATTAACGATAGTAGTAGAAGTATTGCTCTGCAACAAGGCAACACGCAGGTGATGATGCTGATGTTGCTGCTGATGTTGCTGCTGATGCTGCTGCTGCTGCTGCTGAGTCTGCTGAGAATGAACTGCTGCAGGTGCAGCTGCTGTAGTTGCTGCTGCTGCTGCTGCGGGTGGTGTCACTGCTGCTGATGGTCCAGCTAATGAAGGTGGTGCCGCAGCAGCCGCTGCTGATGCGGCTGTTGCACCTACTGCGGATGCTGCTGCTGCTGCTGCAGCAGCAGCTGCTGCAGCAGCAGCAGCCCGTTAGCCAGCAGAGAAGGGCCTGCGAGCGTAGCTGCTGCTGCGACTCGCTGCAGCAGGCTGGAACGGGGGCAACGCCAGCAGCAGCAGCAGCAACAACAGCTGCAGCAACACGAAAGCAGCAGATAAAGCCGCCAATACAATAAGAGGGGTGTATATATGAGTTGCTGCACGTATGAAGCAGCACCGCGAGAGAAAGGCAGCGATGTACAAACTAAAGAGAAGAAATGAAGAAGAAAAGAAACAAAAAATAAAAGAGAAAAGAATAGAGAGCAGCAAGCAGCGGCGAGCTGTTGCTGCTGCTGCGCTTGTATGCAGCAGCAACAGCAGCAACAGCAGCAGATGCAGCAGCAGCAGCAGCAGCAGCGCTATAACAAACCGGCAGCCAACTATTAAAGCCAAACAAATGCAAATGCAAACAAATCCAACAGTAAACAAATTACAAAACTCTTTTATTACTCTATTATTCTAATAATGACTCTCTGCTGCTGCTGCTGCTGCTGCTGCTGTTCAGCAGCAGTGCTGTGCATGCAGCAGCAGCAGCAGCCGCTCTGGGGGCCCTCAAAAATTATCGGATTCTCGCTTCATAAAAACATCTAAATAAAAATAAAAACTAAAAATAATTTAAATATAAAATTTATTTCTATAACACAAACAGCAAACGAATGCGGTGTACAGACATCTATTAGACAGTGCTGGGTTATATAAGAAGTAAAAAGAATATCTTTTTTAATCTTTTTGTTTGTCGTTTTCAAATAAATTAATTAAATTTATATCCCTTTAATTATAAACAAACGCAAATTATACAGCCAGCTCGCCTTTGAGGCCTGCAGCAGCTGCTGACGTGTACACCTGAAAGTTTTGTTTGTGCTGCACCCGAAGAGAGTATTATAATTTAAATATATTAAATAGAATATATGTTACTTTGGAATAAGGAATATATATACTACGCATAGGTACAATATATATATACATATATATACATATATATACATATATATATATATATATATTATCGTCAGCTACAGTTGGGTTTGAATATAACAATGGCTGCTTTAAACTGAAAGCAGCAACAGCAGCAGCAGCAACAGCAGCAAAAGTCAACTGCATGCGGAAACACTTTACAACTAAATGAAAGAAGGCACCGCCATCGGCCTCCGAAAGTCCGCAACTTGCAGAGCAGAAAAATCAAAGAAAAAGATAAATGCATGCATGTATAGTGCATGCATGCATAGTGCATGCATGCATTGTTCTATTGCATGTGGATGTGCATGCATGCATGCATAGTGCATGCATGCACTGTCCAATTGCATGCGCATGCATGCATAATGCATGCATGCACTGTTCTATTGCACGTGCATGCAGAATGCATGCATGCACTGTCCTATTGCATGTGCATGCATGCATACATATATTAACCTACTGCATGCAAGCGTGCATGCATTGTCTGCTGCTGTCTTAATCGTTTCTGAGTGTATTCAAGACAGCGCCACTGCAGGCGAGAAGAAAAAACAAACAAAACAAAAAGAAATAATCTGCTTAATCCCTTTTAACAGTAACATCACCATCTATACTGTCTCTCTACGTCTCAATAATGCATGCATGCATATGCATATGCATGAATACATATGCATGCATGCAATATATAGTATTAATATTTTAGTGCCTCCGTCGTCTGTCTTCTTCTACATTTCTTCTCTTTCGTGGCTGCTCTCCATCTGCATCTCTCGCAGCTTCACGGGCTCTGCTGCTGCTGCGGTCATGATAACTCTTATGCAGCTTTCTGCTTCTGCTATCTTCTGTTTTATCTCTGTTTCTGTCTCTATCTTTTTCTCTCTCTTTATCTCTCTCTCTGTCTCTGTCTCTGTCTCTGTCGCTGCGTTCTTTATCCCGGCCTTCGGCTTTCGAACTGCTGCTGCTGCTGCTGCTGCTGCTGCTGCTGCTACTGCTACTGCTGCTGCTGCTGGCTTCATCATGCCTGCTGCTGCGGCTGTTTCTTTGTTTATTGTCTGCATGCGCTACAGATGATTTGCTGCTCTGCAATTCGCCGCTGCCTTTCAAAGACTCAAAGACATTCTTTACGTGCAGCACATTTATATTCTTCACATCTTCCAGGCCTCTTACAACTTC